ACTGCCCTTGATACACCTATAGCAGGAGTTTTTGAGATCAGTAGGCAGTCTTACAGCTCTTCTTAGAAAGAGTGAAGGAGTTCTCTCCGTTTAAAACCAAAGCTTTTTAAAGCCCCTTATGTGCCACTTGGTATTCAAATCTAAGAGAAGATCTCCTGGACATGATATCAACTAAAGGCAAGTTAACTAAAAGTAGGAAGGTTCTGTTTAGGAAAAGTCCTTAAACCTCTGTTTCTGTTCCTTATTTGTGAATAAAACTATCAGTCTTATTAAAAAGAAACGTCTAGTTTGCCTGATGGTTTCAATTGTTATCCCTAATTTATCTCAACAGGATTAGGAAAACTTGACTCCCTTGAATTTAGTAAGATCTCTCCTAGGAACATAATGGAAGCAAAAGGTAAAGAAAAACAGATCCTAGCCCTTTGGAATCTGTTGATATCTTCAGAAATTCCTGAATTTTAGAATCTAGAAGTTACTCATGGTGGTCTGTGGCAGATACAACGGGTGTACTAAATCAGTAAATACTGGCAACCAGACCAGATGACTAAGCCTAGCATACCAGATCAAAAATCTGAGTGAATATTTTTCGGAGAGTAGCTTAAAAATTGAAAACTGTAGTTTCAGTTTATCCTGAACCTGAAGAATCAGCTCATAAATGCCAGTTAGTTTATTCTGGGAAAAATATTTACAGACCGGACAGGTTTTTCAAGCTTTCTATTGTAGGTAGATCATTTTACCTAAAGGAGAGAAAGAGTTTTGAACACTGATTTGCCATTTTTCTCAACATTTCACCCATATTATGTGTATACCTACCAAAGTGAGATTAAAGTCCTCCAAAGAAGCACTCCTAAAACCGTTTTGTGAATGTTCTTCCACTTCACATGAACTACATGGGTATTCGTGTTCTTCTTTCCCAGGTGAATTCCTAACTGTCACATGAGGAAGTATGCTTTTTCTCTAGTGCAGATAATATTTGAATATCTCTGCACAACCACACTATCATCAGAAAAAGAAATTAAGGCGGTTCCACCTCAGATAACATTTGTCACAAAGTCAAGTATATTCAACTGGGAAGTAGGCTACTCAAAATTGTGACCTTTAAATAACTGCTCTAATTGAGTTAAAAGATGATATCACTTGGTCCTGCCAGTTTCTGTAACCCATCTTCTCCTTTGTTTTTTGAATCTATTCTTTGGCCTGGAATAAGAAAAAATGAGCTTCAAACCAATATTTGTTGTTGTTTTATTTTTTCTGTTTGATGACCAGGATTCACACAAACCTATTACTTTGACTCTTAATGATAAGGACTCCATTCTTTCATTATGTGTTAAAACATAATTGAAGGGCTATTCAAATTCAAATAAAAGATTATGTATTAGATAATATAACTAGTTTATCTTCAGACAGTAGTCTTCCTTTTGACAACATAAAAGATGAAGATTAATGAAAGTTCTGTGGAAGAAAAAATACAACTTTTAAAGCATATTAAGATGTGAAGATTTTTAGTTTTCATTCATTGAACAAGACTGTTAAAGCTCAGAAGGGAAAATTGCTCCGTTTATGTAATTAATGTATTTTGGGAATAGCATTCAGTACTTTCGTTTTATTACCAGCCAGACTGCATCTTAACAAACAGACAGAAGCTTGTGTTCTAATGGTTAGGTATAAGGCTTCTTTTTATCTTAATCCTACCATAGGGGAACTGATGACAAGGATACTAATGGAGCTGACTTAGATATTCCTTATCTCATTCATTAACAAAGAACAAAATTTTGATTTCACAATTTTCCTATGATTTAGGTAGCGCAGTTTTAGTCCAATACTACAGAAAGTTTAAAATACTAAAAATTTTACACTGTTTTAGTGATTGGCCTGACTTTTCTCATGGTAAAAGAAAAGCTTTCAAAGTCTTCTGAAAGGGGATCATTTGTGGCTTAACTATCCACATTTGTTTCTCATGCTGGGATCCATGTAGGTTGTCCCACTGCCAAGTAGGATCCTTTTTCTCCCTCTTCTGTTGTGTAATCTTACATTGAATTTATTTTGTCTATCATGATTCTTAACTATTTGCTGTTACTTTCTTAGGATTAAAAATATTTACACTTAGTTAAAAGTTACATGTATTTGACCATTTATCATGAAGCTTGGTAGGATAGTTTTTTCCTCTGTCATGAGAGTAAACTCAATTTTTTAAACTCAGAGTAATTTCTTTCTGTAACTGTTAAGATTCCAAATGTGTACATAGGATTTGTTGTTGTTGTTACTTTTCTGTTTAATACCACTCAAGTTACTGTCTAGGATCAAATTAATAATTTAAAATGCTCATTTAACACTCCAGCAAAAGTGCAGAAAACCTTCTACTATTTAGATTTTGTTCATAAAATAGCTGATATTGTGAGTGTCACTTCTGCAATGACTTTACCTGCCTTCTGCATGTTCATGTTTATTTTGTAACTGTATATGGCACTCAATACCAAAAGTTTCCTTATCCTGTTTAGTAAAGTAGTAATAGCAGTTGGTAACAATTTTATTAAATATTGTTTTATCCAGTAATAATTGTATCAGAAGAAACGTAGGACACATGGCTAGTGCTAGAAGGTTTACCATAGATTTCTTCATAGGTTTTAAGACTAAAAGATACCATTGTAACATCATCTCTCTTCATGAGTATCATGGGCCATGCTATTTCACTTAAGTTAGACTTGTAGTAAATACATTAGCTTTTATCTAGCTAGACTGTAGCTTCTGTAAATGTGTTCAGTCCTAAGTCAGACACCAGGGCATGGAGGTCATGTCCATGAGAACATGGAGATCATCACCTATCTTCCTGTGTTTGAACATGATCTTTGTAACAAATTTGCCTTATTATTTGTTCCCTGTAACAGAAAATCTGCTTATGATATTGTCTCTAAAGCTATTCTAACAAATAAAGCCCAATGGGTATGTGTCAAATCATTATAATCTCTAGTAATATTTGCAGATAGATAAACAATATCTCTTCTTTAAGTTTCCCATTATGAAAGAGCAGAATGAGCAGCTGTCTGTGGTAAGCATTTTCGTTGTGTCTGAGTTAACCATTAAGAGAAGTTTGTGGTAGTATGATAGATTTTGCCATGGCTGTGTGCACTACAAGTGTAAAGAAAAGAGGCTTTTGACTATTTCTGAATAGCAAAAAGTAGCAAATACTGCTACTTTAGGGGATTCTTCCCTTCCAAGCAGTATTTCTATGAAGTGTTGCAGACAGTTTGAAAGTATGTATTCAGCTATAAATATCAAATATTTTGGAGGACTTGTGCTATCTCTGATTTCATTTTGATATATTAAAAGTCACTTCTTGCTTTTCAGCATTGGAAGATGTTACTGTAACGTAGTAATTTGCCAAAAGAGTACAGTTTGTGCTATGAAGGGAAGTTAAACCAGTTTTCTGTCCAAGTCAGTCTCAGCTAGATGAAACTTCCAATAAAGATTGAGTGTTTCTATTATCAAAGTAGAAGAACTGGATATTAAACCTTTCATTTATCCTTGTCATTGGGTGCAGTCACTGTTCAGAAGGATGCGCTCCTTGTTATCTTTTAAGGACAAAAATATTATTAGATACTGTGGTCACTGTGCTTCAAAATATTATTCCCAAGATGTATCTTTGTAATGGTGTTAAACATTTTAGTCTGTTTTTTCACTTTTGGCCTTGAATGTGGAACACTGTGGGGGAAAAGGCAAACGATGATATCAGTTGTACATCTTACTAATCTAGGTGGTTCAGTATTTAAATGTAGTGTCAATGCATTTTAAAATACCCAAGTGTTCAGCAAAGATTTCAAAGAGACCTACGTAGAAGTTATGGTTCTTAGGTTAATCTTTTATTTATCTAAAGGCTGAAGAAAGCTGTCTACTTCTGTGATATGAACTGCAATCATCTTAAAAGTAATTGACAAATTAATCCCCTCACAGCGCTGCCATTGTAAAGGTGTTAGGTTTAGCTAGGCTTCTCTGATTGCTTTGTCTAATCAGGAATAAAGGTGCTACCTTTGATGTCTAAGATTTAGGAGGGACATCCCAGACCCGACAAGCTTGTATGTTTTCATTATTGATCCTACCATTTCTGCCCGCAACACCCTTTGTGCAGTGTTAGCCTCACACCAAAAGGCTAAAATAAAAATTTCTGCCAGTGATGTATGTGAAGACATGCAGGACTTTTAACCTTTGGAAAAGTTGACTTATATTAATAATTGGTAGATTGGTAAATTGATCTACCTGCAATACAGAATAATTTTCATTCTTTTTCCTGTGTTTAGTCATGTTATTTCTTATTTTTCATTGCAACCACATTGATAGCTACCATACAGTGGAAGTTCATTTCAGTAAGGTTAATTGTGGAGTTACTGCTTAGTATGTATAAAAGTATCATAACTGTGCCATAAATTAATTAATAAATGTAATCAAGTTTCATTTTCCAAAGCCAAGAAAATCCTGCATTTCAAACGTATGTCTGCTTGAGCAAGTTTGAATACATCTGCTTCTATTTCAAGATAAAAATCTGTTACTCTGGGCAGCACGTTGTTAAACAGGATGGCGTTTCTTTGAATAATTAGGTTTGGGGCACTATGAGTGGCCAACATAGTCAAGCATGGAATGAAAGCAGTTTAATAGATTGTTAAACGTTGTTGCAGTTCTCTAAACAAAGCTGTTTTCAAATGGAGACTATTTGTCTTTCCTGTTTGCTTTCAATCTAAAATAATCAAACAGTATTTACCAGAATGTTATTAAAACTTCTCCCTTTACAATAAAATCAAGGTGTATTTTGGGGTTTTTTATTCTCTAACAGAACATTACGTTCTGTATATTTGTTTTGTGTTAAATGCACCCAGACCTATAGTATCAGTGAAGAGCCCAATCCTGCAAGTTCTCCCAGGAGTCCAAAGTTCGATCATTCATTTAGCTTGCATAATGTTGCCCTTTTTATTCACTTTTTGCACATCACAGATTCTTTTCTTTGATTGCAGGTGAATGAAGCCACAGTAGAGCAGCTAGTGCAGCAGTATCCGCATATAACCTTCAGTACTGTGCTGCAGGATTGCAAGAGGACATTGGAACGGGCTTATCAAATGGGCTGGACTCCCAGTATGTCTACTGCCTCTTAACCTCCTATACAACATGAGAGTTCCACTCTGTGGCATTCAGTAGTTTTAATGGGGATTACACAGGGTTCACAACTCTCATATGATGCAATATAATTGTGAGTTTCCAGAGGTTACAGTAAAATGGCAAATGCTGTACGCTGACTTTAATGTAATGTACAACTAAGTACTAATATTGAAGCAAAACTTTAGAAATGCATTGTGGTTTTGTTAGCATAAAAGATATAAAAGCCTTTGGCAGATTTCTTGAAGTGGATTCCTACTAGTTCTCTGGATAGTTTGAGTTATAGAAGATGTTAAACTTGTTTTCCACTGTTTAGTTTACTTTGCTTTGGTCATGGGTGTTTCCATTGATTTGTAAATGGTAACTCAGTGCTAGCACCGGTGCAGTTGATCAACAGAGGCCTGTGTTGAAACTGGGAATTAAATTTGATGCTTATTATTTACTAAAGTTATCCCAGGAGTTTTAAGATGCACAGTAATAAGAAAATCTACAAAGAACTGTGATCTTCTTACACACATTTTGATAATTATACAAATCATCAAACAGAAATCTTAGTAAACAATGATGATGAGAGAATGGGTATTTAATGGACAATCTTATTTTCTATCACTCAACAGAATTGTTATCTTCTTTCATTTTGTTTTGTTTAAAATAAAGAAGTGCTGCGGAGACTTTCAAATCTTTCCACCTTGCCATTTTTATAAGTGAGTTAACAGTGCTTAATCTAACACTGATAACCAGTTCCTACTTCGTAAAGTCAAACAATAATTGAATACATCAACTATCAGAAATAAGTTAACAGACAATGTTTAAATATCTGCTTGAAAAAATTACTTTATTTTTCAAATGAACTTGTCTCCTTTGACTATGTGTCATGGTTTCAGCCCAGCCGGTGACAAAGCACCACGCAGCCGCTCCCTCACTCCTCCCCCACCAGCCACAGTGGGATGAGGAGAAATATAAAGGCAGGCTTGTGGGTCGAGACAAGGGCAGGGAGGGATCACTGACCACTTATGGTCATGAGCATGAGACAGGCTCAACTTGGGGAAGAAACAAAATCAATTTAATTTACTACCAATCAAATCAAAACAAGGATATTAGGAAGTAAAGCCAAACCCTAGAACACCTTCCCCCCACCCGTCCCTCCTTCCCAGCTCAACCCCACTCCCGATTCTCTCTCCCTCCTCCCCCCAGCAGTGCAGGGGAACAGGGGATGGGGGCTGGGGTCAGCTCACCACACCTTGTCTCTGCCGCTCCTTCCTCCTCAGGGGGAGGAGGACTCCTCACTCGTTCCCTGCTCTGGCATGGGGTCCCTCCCACAGGAGTCAGTCTTCCACGAACTTCTCCAATGTGAGTCCTTCCCACAGGCTGCCATTCTTCATGAACTGCTCCAGTGTGGGTCCTTTCCACGCTCTGCAGTCCTTCAGTCACAGACTGCTCCAGTGCAGGCTTTCCCATGGAGTCACGGCCATCTTCAGGGTTATCCCCCTGCTCCAGCGTGGGCTCCTTCCCCAGGCTGCAGGTGGGCATCTGCTCCCCCACTCCCCTCCATGGGCTGAGGGGAACAGCCTGCCGTCTCACCACGGGCTGCAGGGGCATCCCATCCTCCATCGCACCTCCTCCCCTCCTTCTTCTCTGACCTTGGTGTCTGCAGAGGGGTTTCTCTCACATCCCACTCCCCTCCCCCACTGCAGCTTTGCCCTCTAAAATCTGTTCTCCCAGAGGCACTACCACTGTCACTAGTGGGCTCAGCCTTGGCCTGCGGCAGGTCCAACTTGGAGCTGGGGAAGCTTCTGGCAGCTTCTCAGAGGAGCCACCCCTGCGGCCCCCTCCCCCGCTACCAAAAAAACACGCCACACAAACCCATAACACTATGCTGTTATGTTGTTGAGTAGGGAAATTCAGATGAATGGGTAAGCCAGTAACAGGATTCCTCTCGTTTCCTGTGTGGTTGTTACTTTACAACAGATCTTACAATGCAAAGTGCTTACCTCAAGAAGGCCATCTAAACACAAGTCCCATTGTGGGTATCATTTTGTAGGATCAGATGCTTCATAATACAGTGTCTGCAAGAAAATACCCAGAGTAAATACATAAAAAGATTAATTTTCTGTGTGTCACATTGCATTCTAAGCAGTATAATTTTACCAGGGGATAGTGAAGATATAGGCATTTCAGCTTCAATTTGAAGTTGCGTTAACCTTTAGAGTATTACCATTTGGTTAAGAATGTTTTCAGGTGTGTAACACTGGGTATTTGTTCTTCAAAGGTTACAGCATTTTAATCCAAAGTATGAAATGCTTAAGCTTCAGCTGAAGAGTTGCCATTATTGTCAAAATTTTTTGCAAATCCAGAAGGTCTCATGCAGCATAACCTAGAAGCTTGTTTAGTATGGCTGTATAACTCTCTGTAAGACTGTTTGTTGATGTCCATAGCATAATTTTTTACAAAAGAAACATCAGCTCACAGTAATTCCAGTGAGAGTGTTGAATGTTTTCTTATTAGACTTTTAAAAATGGGGATGAACTAATTTCTCTGGAAAAAATATATGCGAAGTTTTTGCTTTAAATAAGTGGTAAATACATGTGAATGTGCATAATGCTAGGCTTTTTATTTACTCAAAAATGACAACAATATTTTCAGAATAAAGCCGATGCATTATATTGTAGATATAGTACAGAATCTTAGTCATTTTCCATTTAATGTCTTTTTATGAGTACATTAAAACTATTCACACAGTTTGTAAGTTTCTATTTTTTCGTGACACCTTTGATCTTGTAATGGGTTTTAATAAAAGAGAGAGTAAAGATGTAGTGTCTTCTGTTTATCTGTGCTGCTAACTGTACTTAGACTATGCTAACATAAAGACTGAGATCTCCACCCTTGAATATGCAGAACTCATCTGGACATGGTCTGAGAAACTAATCCAAGCTGGCCCCATCCCCATTGTGAGTGACAGAGTTTGACTAGATTAATTTCCATGGATCTTGTCATTTACCTAATTTGGAAGTTTATGTGGTATAAGAATTCTAGACAGAAAAATGTTCTTCTAACTGCAGTGTTGTCACAGATAGCTCTTTAATTTCTTTATAATAAATCAATATTTCCTAAGTAGTTTTATAGGAATAAATAACAATGTTGCACACTCTTTAATTTTTGAAATGTCATTTAGGGGAAAAGGAAAAACTATTGCCTTTTGTAAAAAGAAAAATTACTCATGTTTTCAATTACTCCAAACTTGCAGTGGATTAAGAAACTCACAGGCAGCTTACATGCTGGATTTCCAGGGTTCCAACAGGCCTACTTTACTGACAAAATGTCTTTGTTCCTTCAAGGTCTTTCTGTAAACTTGCCATTAAGGTAGGTAGCCTGTGATTCAGCATTCATGTTATCAGAGATGTTTCTAGGCTGGAGGAGCTGGGCTTGTTAAACCTGCAGAAGAGGAGGCTAAGGCAAACTCTTAAGTGCTTTCTTAACTAAGCAATGGGTGGTTGTAGAAAAAAGACAGATAACCTTTATTTTCAGTCATTCGTTCATCTAAATCCAGGTATAATTCTGTTTTAATACCACTCAAATAGTTCACTTGGTGGTTGCTCTACCCATCTCTCTCCACTTAAAGTAGATGTGGAGAGGAGTGTTCTCACACAATTTGTCCCACCAGGGGAAATGGCTACAATGGGGTTTCACATGCAGATTCAAATTCACTCTGCCCAGGCTCCCAGATTAGTGGGAAGTTTAGTGAATTGCCAAATCCAAGCTTGCATACCCCCATTCTCCACAAGTGCTCTTGTGTGGTACTAGGCAGCTTCTAGTCATCTTTGAGCGGGTACAAAGTGAATTTCTCTGAAAAATATCATAGTTAAGGATAAACTGATCCCAGTATGGCCGAAGGTGGCTACTGGGAGTGACCTTCAGCATTCTCAAAACCATTATCCAAAGGCCTTCTGTACTACTCCTACAGCAACTGACTCTGCTTAACCTTCAAAACTCAGCCTTGCCCCCAGAACCTCATTGGGTTGACTCACAGAAAATATTTCTTCCCCCTGTATGTCCTGCAAAAGAGTTTGAGCCATCCTTGAAAGTTTCCTAGAACTATTAACTTACCAATCTATCTAGCTGGGTTTTCAAAAACAGTATTTGGTAAAACAAGTTGTAACCCTTTTTGAATGAGAAGATAGCCCTAGTAAGAACAACTAACCAACAGTTAATTCTCTCAGCTGGCTTCCACATGAGCTTACTGATGTCCACCCAGATTCTCAAGAAATAAATATAGCCTTGCTGATGCTTAATAGACTGTGGTGTTGACAGGAAAAAAATCAAGAAAGGCAGCAGGTCAACATACACAATGGTTATAGGAAAACATTACAGAGGCACAAAACAAGCTTTTTAGGAGGCTGATAGTGCCTTCTTCAGGTGATGTGATCTTGAACAAGAAAAGGAGAAGGACTTTTACATCTTATAAATAATTAGGATAGGGTAGGATAGGATAGGATAGGATAGGATAGGATAGGATAGGATAGACTATTTCAGTTGAAAGGGACCTACAACAGTCATCTAGTCCAACTGCCTGACTATTTCAGGGCTGACCAAAAGATAAAGCATGTTAAGGGCATTGTCTGAATGCCTCTTGAACACTGACAGGGGCATTGACCATCTCTCTAGAAAGCCTGTTCCAGTGTTTGACCACCCTCTTGATGAAGAAATGCTTCCTAATAAAAGAATGCATTGTAAAAGCGTATGTAAAAAGACTATGATGATGTCTGATCTTGTAAATATTAAGATTTATATTTTAAATTAGGTGAGGTTTTATGCTGCTCATTTATGAAACTCCATATTAACAAGAGAGTGACTTTAAAGCAGATCCATTTAAAGGGTCCATTAAAATAAAATTGTTTAAAGCGATATTACTTTTTTCATCCTGCAGTTGTTTTTTTCCCAGCCTTCTCCATGAGTGACTTGCTGTATTGGCAGTATAGGTGACTGAGATTTTATTTGAAGT